GGAGGCGGCCGCGAGCACCTGGAGAGGCCCCGCGCCGCGCGCTGCTGGAGCTCTGTGCGCGCGCCGGCCTCCCGGGTGAGCGGACCCCCGCGCAGCCCCTCGCCGAGGACGCGGCGCCCCCGAGATGCCGCGCCGCCTCCCCGGTCTCCACCCCACCCCCTGGGGATGCGGGCTGGCAAAGATTCAGCCGTCGCCCCGAAGCCTGGAGGGGTGCAGAAGGGGAACGGGCGATCGCCGCCGAATTCTGTTTCCTTTGCACTGGGCTGGGGTTTTGTTGTTGTTGCCTGGGAGCAGCGACAGTCTCCCACGGAGGGCGGGCTGGGTACCCTGTCTGCCTGCGCCCTCGACATTTCAGTCTGCGAGGGGAGGCGCCGGCTCCGACACGCAGGGCCGCTGGGACTATTTCCACGCCGTTAGCTGGTGCCTAGGACACCGTGCGGGGCCGGCCCTTGGAGGCCCGAGCAGCTCGCCTGCGCCCCGCTTCCCAGCACCTCACAAAGGACGGAGTGAGGGACTCGCACACTGTCCCCTGGGATGGAGGGCGGGGGGGGGGGGGCCTTTCCTGGGGACGTCGGTCCCGCCCGCTTCCCATTGTTCTTCTCTCCTGCCTTGTTGACCATGATATGGAAAAAACAGGCTTCTGTGAAAGACAAGTCTGAATTCTGAAATGAGATTTCAGGGAGCTGACACGGTGGCTGTTTGTCCTCTGTCAACCAAACTAACAACAAACCTCGTTTTTTTAAAAAAAATTCTTAGAATAATTTTCAGATGCAGCATTGGAAAGCAGAGGGAGAAGCATGGCCTTGCAGCGTCTCACTGAGTCATAGTTTAACAAGTCCACCCTAGGCTTAGTTAAGACTCCAGGACAGACTTGTGTTGACTTTGCTATCGGGTAGCTCCAATCTCCCAAAAGCTGCCTCCTAACTTACACATTTTCCTCCGTCTACATGAAAAGATAACCTCGGTAACTGCCGTTTATTACATTGTAAGACAAGACATGAGCGAATTTTGCATCTAACCAAACTAACATTCTTTCTAAAGGCCTGTAAATAAATATACTCTTATGAGCCTCAAAATGGCCTTGGAGCCAACTTGGCCCTCTTAAAATTTCCCTCCTTAATCTCTGACATGTGCTTATTTGTGTGAAAGTCTTCTTTTTAACTTTTACAAGTTGTACTTGGGGGGGGGATAATAAATTTTTGAGTTTTTAAAAGATTTCACTGAAGCTCTTTACAATTTTACTTTCTTCCCTCCAAATATTTCTAGATCAGCTGAATAAAAGCCTGACATGGTCTTAGATTTTAATTCTATGGATTAGGTAAGTTTAGAAGTATTAATCACTTGCATGTTCAAATATATTTTACAAGCCAGGTGTGGTGGTGCACATCTTTAATCTCAGCACCCAGAGGCAGAAGCAAGGGGATCTCTATGAGTTCAAAGCCAGCCAGGACTGTACAGGGAGTTCCAGGCCAGCCAGAGTTACATGATAAAGCCCTGTCCTAAAATAAATATATTTTACATGTGTTCTTAATCTACCTGTTGGCTCATAAAACCAGGCTGGAGCAAGACAAACACTTCACTCTACTGATGACAACTTGAGGTCCGTTCTCCCTGTCTTTTGAGGCTGATCGCAGTGAGTCCTTGGTACCACAGAGGTGAAGACGCACTGTCCTCAAAGCCCTTTCACCCCTGCACTGAGGTGGCTCTGAGGGCTCCAGGGTAGAGAAAGTCCCTATTTTTCTTATGTAAACATCTCCAAGGATTCATTTGGGAAGGAAGAGAACAGTGCTTTCATCTTAGAAACAGGATTTAAACAGATACACAAAACAGGACCCATTGAAAAGTAAACTGCACAACAGATGTACTCAGTATGCCGGTAGGTGGATGCTCAGCACCCCCAGGCGCAAAAGCCCCCAAATAGGCTGCAGTGGTACTCACACACAAAACGGTTGGTCGGTGCCTCAGATTATGACTGAAAGCTAAGGATGCCCCAGTAGGAAAGCCTGCCATTTAGCAGCGTGCAAGAAGCCACTTCAGATTTTACCTTTACCAATTCTTACATTTGTTTTTATCTTACATCAGGTATTTGTTTTTGTAAGTGATCTTTCAAGTGGCTTTTTAACATGAGATTCCCTCTTCACCTCAGACCAGCATAGCACTGACAACCGTCGTACAGCATAAGATCTTTGTGGAGGCCCTGGCCATCTAACCAGCCATTTGGGGACCATTCAAAAGAAGAAGGAAGACTAGCTCTGGAAGGTGGAAACTCTAGTACAGTATTTCCCAGGGTAGCAGTAGGCGTCTAAGTCTTCTACATGGTTTTATGTTACATGGTCAAAAATAAGTTTTTGAAAGAAGGCAAATCATAAATTCACAAAGGTGGCAAAGATGTGAACCCATTGAAAACAAAATAACAAACAACAGATGCAAGTATTTTCAACCAGTGTTTCTCGTGTTCATTAAAACTGACCTAATACTTTGGTTAAATATACCAATAACATCAAGCCTAATAAAGGACTCTGGGAAAACACTGCCTTAATTTGTTTAGTGAATGAATGAATGAATGAACGAACGAACAAACGGATTATGGCACGCATAACACTGTGCCAGGAGCAGTCCCTGTTATTGTAAAGCCTTCCATATAAATGTGCATAGAATGTACAGGTATATAATGTATAACTCAATAGACAGAATAAGGGAAAACAAAGATGACTGATTTGAATATGATTCACCTACATGTTAAAGTTTCAACTCTTGGATTGGAGAGACGGCTTAGTGGTTAAGAGTGCTCACTGGTTTGGTTCCCAGGATCCACATCAGGCAGCTCACAACCGCCTGTAACTCCACATACATCACACACATGTGGTACACATAAACTCATGCAAGTACACATATCTATAAATATAAATAATCTTTAAAGTTTTAATTTAAAACTGTTTTTGTTTTTTGTCTTTTTTGAGACAGGGTCTCCCTGTAGCCCCAGCTGTCCTGGAACTCACTATGTAGACCAGGCTGGCCTCGAACTCACAGAGATCCACCTGCCTCTGCCTCCCGAGTGCTGGGATTAAAGGCATGTGCCACCACGCCTGGCAAAACTGTTTTCTATCAATGTTCTTAAAATGAACATCTGAATTTCATACTCAATATCAATAGTTTCTTAATTAAAATCTTTTCATTCAATACACTGACTTTACTTTCTACAAAATGTAAAGTTACATTTGTGCACAAGAAAAGAAATTTCTCAAGTCACTAGTTCAAATTCAAGCCCAACCACTTACCACTGGTTTTAGCTTAAAAACCACATTATGAGTTGCATTCCTCATCTGCAGATAGAGATTACAATCTATCTCATGGGTTCTTACGAAGATTAAATGACATTCTTAGAACAAAAAAAAAAACAGTTGACAAATGCTAATTTTATCATCATCGTCATTGTTCCAATAAGCAATGTATAATCATCATTGTTACAATAAGCAGTGTATAAACATGAAGTTTGGAAGAGGAACAAAACCACTGTGTTTGGCACCAGCTTAACAAATGGCAATTGTCTTTCTACTTCTTGGGTACCACATGCTCATAGAGCTTTCAAACTTTTTTGGAGACCCATAAAATTTTAAATTTTGCTTGGAATGAACAGGTTGTTCTGGGTGAGCTCCGTGGAAAACGGTTGTATGCTCACTTTATGAATCCTCAATGCAAAATACTTTCACATCCCTGGAGGAGCAGACAATTCTGAGAAATCACTTTCTGCAAGGTGCTGGGGCACTGGGCCAGAATCTTCACAATGGCAGGAAGTCAACAGAGGTCTGGTCTATTGGCCTGGACATGGTGACTTGAAGCTTCCTGCCAGTCCTCCTGGGAATAGCCAGTCCTCCCAGTGTGTGAAAAAGGATTCTTGCCTGCCTAAAAAGATAATTTTCTGGCCGGGTGTGGTGGCGCACACCTTTAGTCCCAGCACTGGGGAGGCAGAGGCAGGTGGATCTCTGTGAGTTCAAAGCCAGCCTGGTCTACATAGTGAGTTCCAGGACACCTGGGGCTACAGGGAGACCCTGTCTCAAAAAGACTAAAAAAAAAAAAAAAACATAATTCTCCATTAAAAAGAAATTAAGTCTCTCCCCTTAACTCTCTATCCTTTAATCCTTTCCTTTGCCACCTCTCATCCTCGACACAATAGCAAAAAGGGCCTCGTTATCAGAGTGGTTATTGTCTGAGTTATTGAAGAGTCAACATAGGCTGGCAAAGGTCTGTTTATGGCTTCGGTTTCCCCCACTCAATCTCCCCTCTCTAACGCACCTGTACACCCAGCCCACCCTTGTCTCACACTCTTTTTCCCTCCTCTATCTGACCATAAGATGTAGGTACAGTGTGAATGAAGAGGCAACTGAAATGTCAGTTCTTGCAGAGATTCGGATTTCATGAAACCAATGGACGCAGCATTGGAGAGCACCTGATGTCACATTTAAAACCAGTGGCAGGGAAGGATGCGGTACCCGTAACCAAGGAGTGAGGGGTGGCATCAAACACAAGCAAGTAAATTTTGTGTTATTTTGGTTTGTTGGTTTGTTTGAGACAGGCCTAGAACTCAGTTATGTAGACCAGGCTGTCCCCAATCTCAGAGATCTCCCTGCCTCTACCTCCGGAGTGCTGGGATTAAAGAGGTGAGCCACCAGCATGCCTTTAATCCCAGCACTTGGGAGGGAGAGGCAGGCAGAACTCTGTGAGTTCAAGACCAGCCTGGTCTACATAGTGAGTTCCAGGCCAGCTGAGGCTACATGGAGACCCTGTTTCAAAAAGACTCCCACCCCCAAAAAAGATTATACAGGGTGGCCAAAATAGCCTATTTTTTTTTTATTTGGGGATGAATATGTATGAGAACAAATTA